TCGTTGCAAACCTCTGAACCTTTTCCAGTTTCTTTATATGCTTCTTCAGATGGGGAATCCATAATGAGGCGGAATACTCTAAGACTGGCCTGACGTAGGCAGTGTAAAGCGCCCTAAATGCCTCCTTACTTAGGTTTCTGAATGATGTTCTAACTTTTGCCAGTGTAGAGTACGCTGCTGTCGTTATCCTATTTATATGTGCCTCAGGAGATAGATTAGGTGTTACGTCCACACCCAGGTCTCTTTCGTGCGTCGTCACAGGTAGGCGGTTCCCCTTCATTGTGTACTGTCCCTTTGGTCTCCTATCTCCTAGTCCCTTTTCCATAACTTTACATTTGCTCGTGTTGAATTCCAGTAGCCATTTCTCTGACCATCTCTGCAACCTGTTCAGGTCCTCTTGGAGGGTTCTGCAATCCTCATCTGTCACAACTCTTCTCATCAACTTTGGGTCATCCGCAAACATCGACATGTAGAACTCTACGCCTGTAAACATGTCGTTAACATATACAAGAAATAGAATTGGTCCCAGCACCGATCCTTGTGGTACTCCACTTGTTACTGTTCGCCAGTCCGACTTCTCGCCCCTTACCATAACTGTTTGGCTCCTTCCTGTTAGGTAGTTCCTTATCCATGCTTGGACCTTTCCCCCCACCCCCGCCTGCCTCTCGAGTTTGAACAGCAGTCTCGTGTGCGGTACTGTATCAAAAGCCTTTTGGCAGTCCAGAAATATGCAGTCTGCCCAACCATCTCTGTCCTGTCTTATCCTCGTTATTTTATCAAAGAATTCCAGAAGGTTTGTTAGGCACGATTTCCCTGTCCAAAACCCATGTTGATGTTTGTTCACAAACCTAATGTTCTCCAGGTCTGCAACCAGTCGTAGCCTAATTATTCTTTCCAGTATTTTACAGGGGATACTTGTCAGTGATACAGGTCTATAGTTAAGTGCCTCCTCCCTAACGCCTTTTTTGAAGATCGGCACGACATTTGCCGTCTTACAGCAACTGGGCAATTCTCCCGACATAAGTGGCTCATTAAAGATCATTGCCAGAGGCACGCTGAGGGCCTACGCTGCTTCTTTTAGTATCCACGGTGATACTTTGTCTGGTCCAACTGCTTTAGTTGCATCTAGAGTTGTAAACTGTTTCATTACCTCCTCTGCTGTCACCTCTATATCTGATAGTCTTTCATCTAGGGTAGCCCCTTCCAACAATGGGAGCTGCTCAGGCTCGGTAGTGAAAACTCCATGGAAACTGGCATTCAGTGCCTTGCAGATTTCCTTGTTACTTTCAGTATATGCCCCCTCTGTCTTCCTTAGTCTTGTCACTTGGTCGTTAACCGACATTTTTCTTCTTATATGACTGTGTAGTAACTAAGGTTGTTTTTTCGCCTTCATTGCAATATCGTTCTCATAGTCCCTTTCCGATGTTCGTCTTATGTTAATGTAATCGTTCCTAGCTCTGTTACATCTGATCCTGTTGTCCTCTGTCCTTTGTCTTCTGTACTTCCTCCACTCCCGCCTGCTGGACATTTTTGCTTCCTGGCACTGTCTATTAAACCATGGGTTATTATATTCCTTCTTATTTTTTCCCTTTACTGTTGTTATAAATCTCTTTTCGACCTCCTGGCATTTCTGTATGACTTGGTCCATCATATCCTGGACTGTTTTTCCTCTAATTTCTTCCTCCCACTGCACTTCACCCAGATAGTCCCATATCCTCTTATAGTCCCAATTCCTGTAGTCAATTCTTCTTTCTCAGATCTCTTGTCCCATGGTCATAAGTTTGTATTCCATCATGTAGTCAAAGACTAGGACACAATGGTCACTGGCCCCTAGAGGTATTTCATGCACTAAATTCTCGATATCTTCTACGTTCTGGGTGAAAATCAGGTCTAATAGGCTTAGTGCATCTCCTCCTCTTTCCCTTGTGTCTTCCTTCACATGTTGTGTTAGGAAATTCCTGTCTATAACATCTACTAACTTTGCTCCCCCACGTTTCGTCCCCTCCATGGGGATTCCTTGATTCCCAATTTATCTCTCCATGATTTAGGTCCCCCATGATCAGAAGCTTCGCTCTCATTCTGTTGGCTAATGTTGCTGCCTTCTGCAGTTCATCTATGCATGCCTTGTTGTTATCATCATACTCCTGCCTGGGTCTTCTACTGTTTGGTGGGGATTGTAGATTACCAAGATCACAATCTTCCTCCCATCTACTGTCAGAGTTCCATGTATGAAGCTTGTGCACTCATTGGTAACCCGATTTCCCTGGTCTTCAAACTTCCATTTCTGCTTTATTAGGAGTGCCACTCCCCCTCCCTGTCTCTGTGTCCTCTCTTTTCCTATCACCTGGAACCCTTTAGGAAAGATTGCATCTGAGATCATGTCATTAATTTTAGTTTCCACAATTGCAACTATGTCAGGATCTGCCTCACTCACTCTTTCTTTTATCTCTTCTGCTTTATTAGATACCCCATCAACATTGGTGTACCAAACCTTGAGATTCTACATGGAAACTCTTGTACCAGAGTTCTCCCTTTCTCTGGGGGTCTGTTGGGGGTGTCTCGGGGGGTGACTGGGGGCAGGGGGGGGACCTGGGGGATTCGGGGGGTGTCTGGGGATGACTGGGGGCGGGGGGGATCAGGGGGGTGTCTGGGAGATCCGGGGGGGGGGGGTATCTGGGGGTCCGGGGGTGTATGGGGGTGAAAGGGGTCGGGAGTGGTGCTTGGGGGCTAATGGGGGCTGGGAATCTAGGAAGGTTGGTAGGAGGATCTGGGGTAGGGCCTGGGTAGGTAGGTCTGGAGTAGGAAGGGCATATTGGGTCTGAAGATTAGGGTCTGATAGGCATAGAGGGGTTGGGAGATAGCGTAAGGTTGGGAGTCAGATAGAGGTTGAGAGGTTGGGAGGGGGGAAGGATAGAGGGGGTGGGGGGAACCTCCCACCCCCCTCGCAAGGGTGGGGGGTCACATGGAAGGAGAGGGGATGAGGAGGGGTGAGGGCTGGGTAGGTTTTGGGGGTTGAGGGGATGAGGGCTGAGTGGGTTTTGGGGGTTGAGGTGATGAGGGGGTCCATGGAATGTGGGATGAATTTGACTGCAGTGGGGTCAGAGGGGTCAAGGGAGGTGTTGGGGAGATAAGCAGGGGCAGGGAGGGTTGATTTGGGGAGGGAGTGACCTGAGAGGCAAGTGTGAGCTGGTTAGCATGGGGTGATTAGCACTGCGGTGTGTAGCTACGCTCAAAAGGGAAGAGTTGTATCGTGGAGGTTTGCTTGCTCTGTGGGCTATCTGTTCCTCCTTTGTCATGAATTTGTCAATATAGACGTTGTAGTAATTTTCGCTACCTCTGAGTAAGTGTTTGTGATGCAGTATGTAATCCAGTGCCTCTTCGTTAGTGAACTGTACAGTTTCCTGTTACAGTTGTATGGCCCAATGCGTCGGTGGACTTGCACCTCATTCCCTGCCATCTGGGTTCTCATGTCTCTCAAGATCCCCTGAAGCTCCAAATCTTCAATCTCCAGCATTTCCTGCCTCGATGGTGCCCTGGCTTCAAGCAATCCATGGATTATGATTGTCCTCTTTCTCAGTTCAGGGTCATGCTGGTGGCCCCGTCCCTGGCTAACCCCCAACCCTCCCACACCCGCTACTCCACCTACTACTACTCCCCCTTCCCCTGCCAAGCTTCCCTTATTCCTGCCAAATTCATTAGTAAGTCTAGTTATTTCTCCTTGTCATTCTACCCTGCTCTTCCTGATTTCCTCTCCAATATAATCCATAAACTCTTGTTTGAGTCTTTGAACCTCGTCCTGTATCTTATTAAAGATTTCACTTTTAATCCCCTGGATTAGATCATCTAATGTGTGTGTGTGTGTGTGTGTGTATGTGTGTGTGTGTATGTGTGTGTGTATGTGTGTGTGTGTGGGGGTGGGTGTGAGCGTGTGCGGGTGGGTGTGAGCGTGTGCGCGCGCCCTTTTATTCTCTCTCTGTTCAGCAAACATAGCTTCTATTATACTTATATTAAATATTTTGCCTTATTCCCATCCTTCATTTCCATTTATATTGCTTGTGTTTGAAATCTTTATCTCTGTTTTTTCTGCTTCAATTTTTTTATTTTTCTGATTTTCAGTCTCATAATAAATTCATTGAAGCAGGAATTTAAGAAGAATTTAAGAAGAAAATTCTTTGAAAATATTTTCCTCTTCATTTTCATTCTGGCTCCCAGAACATGAGTGAAGAATCTTTTTTTTCATTTTCCAATACAATCGAATGCGCTGATAAGACCTCACTTGTCTCTTGTACATTGTGTACTGCAGTACAGGAGGCTGTTCTGTTTATGTGATTACAGGCTATTCATGCCCGTGCCACCTCTTGGGTGGCTTAATCCTCATCAATCATCAATTTATTCATGCCCGTGTATGCTCTTGGGTGGCTTAAACTTTATCAATCAATCTGATCGTGTGTGACCGGTTCCTGTACATTTCTTCAGCAGATACACTCGATGGGTTTGAATAGGAGAGCAAGGGACCTGTACTCTACTTGATACTACCAAAAGACCGCTAGTGTGAGCTTACTACTAACCTAAAAACAAAAACTAAAAGACTTAGTTTTTTTAGCTTTTAAAGAGCTTAAAACTAAAAGTAATAGTTTTAACTCTCCAGAACAGGCGACCAATTTGTTATGACATGAGAAATATTCTTGCTTCCGCTTGATTGAAGGGTGAACGATGTGTTGATATAGAGAACTATTTACATTTGAGATAATTGATTTGTAACTAGCATCTTTGCCCGCTTTAGTTAGCAAATCTAGCAAGGATTGTCTCCTATCTGTTTTATCCTTTAGATACCATACTTTTAGATACTATTTAGATACTTTAGCCTCCAGATACCACCAGACTATAATCCGGTGGTATCTGGTGAATTAGATAACGCAACGCTTTTACTCGCTTCTGTCATTTTCCTGTTTATTCATGTGTAACTCATCGTCGGGGGGCAGGCGGCCTGTCAAATTTATCTACGTCCCCGTAGGCCAACTACTAAACGTTCTCAGAATGCAAGCCTCAACAGTTGCCTCGCTCCCGGGTACGTATTTACTGGGACGTGAACAGTTGCATCAGGTGAAATAAAACATGTGCTACGGCCTCGGTCTAGACGCGAGAATCGAATCACTTTGGATGGACGGTAGAGCTACGGTAGAGCTTTATGCATGTCAGGGTTCAATCCTCGACCGTCCACAAGTGGTTGGGCACCATTCCTTTCCCTTCGTCCCATCCCAAATCCTTATCCTGAACCCTTCCCAATGCTATACAGTCGTAATGGATTGGCGCTTTCCCCCTGACAGTTCCCTCTCTTCTCTCCTTGGCTGACAAATGTTTGCTTCCATATTACCACGTTTCCAGAGCACTAGAGCTCACTCTCTCTCTCTCTCTCTCTCTCTCTCTCTCTCTCTCTCTCTCTCTCTCTCTCTCTCTCTCTCTCTCTCTCTCTCTCTCTCTCTCTCTCTCTCTCTGGCTTTGTCTGTATCTACCCAGATCTTTTCTGACTCAAATCTTCTATGATTCGTATTTATTGTTTCGTTCTCTATTTTGTGTTGATATTTAACACTGCGTTAATATGATCCTCAGGTTATAGTTTTCTATCTAAAACCACCCCTAGATCTTTCTTGATCAGAATTCGGTATAGATCTCTGTGGCTCGATCATAGAAACTGAGTAAATTCGTTACACTGGACCTTTCATATCGAAGACCATACTGACAGTCTGATATATCATTTGTCTCCTGGTGTTCTACCCATTTAGTTTTAATTATTTTTTCCAATATTTTCAGTATTACATTTGTCAATGATTCAGGTCTATAATTGAGTGAGCCGCCTAACCCTGCCCACCACTTTTGTAGATTGGAACTATGTTAGCCTTTTTCCACACATCTGCTACCATTCTTGTAATATTACCTCCGTAATATTACCAACAAATAATAAATAATGGTAATAAATATTACCAACAATAAATATTGAAATATTACCTCTTTTATTTGAGTACGTCTGCATCTGGAACTGAGCAATATCGGATTTATTATTTGGTTTTATAAATTTTATACTTATAATCTTACCTCATTTCATAGACCACGAGCAATCTGGGCTTCGAACTCAACAGAAAAGCCTTCTGTAGACCTGCTTCTTTGCTACGTAATAGACAAAATTCTGAGGGATAATTTGTTGACTAGCTCTCCTTTCGAGAAATTTAGTAAGTACCGATTTATTATGTGTTTATTGTTTATATATTTATTTTTTCTTTATATACAAGAAGGTACATTGGGGAAGAGTACAGAGACTTGAAGTTATTTTTTATTTCTGATGTTAACATTGTCTAACTGTAGCTGAATTGCATTTGTTGATTTGCTCCCAAATAAGATGAAGTAGGTCCTTGCTATGTTTAGTGTAAGTTTGTTGGTTGACATCCATAAGTGGATTTTTTTAATTCATTGTTTACAACATTATTTAATATGAGTGGGTTGGGGTCTTGAGTAGATGAGGGTAATATCATCAGCAAACAATATAGGTTTAAGCATGTTTTAGAGACATTAGGCAGATCATTGATGTATATAACAAATAGGAGGGGTCCTAGGATGCTGCCCAATGGCACACCTATGGTTAATGGTGGAGTGGGAGAGGTTATATCATTGAAGGATTATCATTGATATCATATCCCCCCACAAGTTATTTCAGTCATCAATTATGATGGATTATTTATATACTGCAGAGTTTTTTGTGTAAAAAAAATCATTCCATCACTATTGAGCTAAAAGTACACAATGATTAGATAAATATACAATACCTAATTTTGTATTTGATTTACCTAGTCATTCAGTCTTTGTAGTCATGACTTCATTAAATATTTTGCTTTGTATATTGCACATGATCAACATGTTCTGCCTGTGCTTAATTGCGCGAAACCAAGTGTAATGCCATAGAATTCAGTTGGCTTGAGATATTGAAGATGACTATCAATAGCTTCATGTGTGATAGGTTTGTTTTAAATTGATGGGTGTGATATGTATAGAGACCTGAATATCATTCTAAGGGGAAATGTATAAAAAATTGTATTACTAATAGACAGATATGATACTGTATAATATTATTAGCATAACTGAACCACACATTTGAAGTAGACGAATGATAGAAGGTCCATGTTTAGAATGATTTCGATTTAATTTGAATAGTGCTGTGGACATTTATTAATCCCTGTACCTGGGACTTAATCTTCAACCTTCGTTAATTTTTTTATTACATTCAAGTTATCAAGGTATAAATTTTTTGTCAGTTTTTGTTCATTTAATCCTTCACTCTTTAATTATTGGCAATGCGTTAATTTCGTCAAGGAGTTTAGTCGACTTGGACACCAGAGAGAAACAAGAAAACATTAAGGAAAAATGTGTTAGTACATAATAAAGCTTAATTCTTTCATTACCTGGTTCTTGGAGTTGATCTAGCCCCCAAGTGGGCCTGAGGCCAGTCATCTCTATTGAAAAGTTGATCTAGAAGATTGTGGCTGTGGTTGTGACTGTATGATACCTGGTTGATACCTGGATGATACCTGGATGATGGGGTTATGGGAGTTCGTCTACTTCCCAAGCCCGGCCCGAAGCCAGCCTTGACTTGTGAGAGTTTAGTTCTCTAGGCTGTTGTTTGGAGCTGCCCGCAGGCCCACATATCCACTACAGCCCGGTTTGTCCGGCACTCCTTGGAGGAAACAATCTAATTTCCTCTTGAAGATGTCCACGGTTGTTCCGGCAATATTTCTTATGCTTGCTGGGAGGGTTTTGAGCAACAGTGGACCTCTGATGTTTATTCAGTGTTCTCTGATTGTGCCTATAGCACCCCTGCTCTTCATTGGTTCTATTCTGCATTTCTTCCATTTTGTACACTCAAATACGTTGTTATTTTACTGTGTCGATTTGGTACTTGGCCCTCCAGTATCTTCCATGTGTATAATTTTTTATATCTCTCTCGTCTTCTTTCTAGTAAGTACATTTGGAGTGCTTTGAGACGATCCCAATAATTTAGGTGCTTTATCGCTTCTATGCTTGCTGTATTCTCTGTATTCCCTTTATATCAGCAATCTCTCCTGCTCTGAAGGGGGAAGTGAGTAATGAGCAGTACTCAAGACGTGACAACACAATTAAGTGACTTGAAGAGTACAACCATTGTAATGGGATCCCTGGATTTGGAAGTTCTCGTAATCCATCCTATCATTTTCCTGGCTTCCGCAAAATTTGCTTGGTTATGCTCTCTAAAATTTTAGGTCGTCAGACATCATTATTCCCTTATCCTTTACATGTTGCTTTCCTACTATGGGCCAATTTGACTGCGTTTTGTACCCTGTATTATGTTTAAGGTTCTCATTTTTACAGTATCTGGGTACCTGGAATTTATCGCTGTTAAACATCATGTTATTTTCTGCTGCCCAATCGAAAACTATATTAATATATGTTTGTAGTTTTTCAATATCTTCAGCAGAGGTAATTTTCATGCTGATCTTTGTGTCATCTGCAAAGGATGATACGAAGCTGTGCCTTGTATTTGAGTCTATATCTGACATGAGAATTAGGAAAAGCACTGGTGCAAGGACTGTACCTTGAGGTACTGAGCTTTTAACTGCGCTTGGACTCGATTTTATATGGTTGACTGTTACACTTTGTGTTTTGTTCGACAGAAAACTGAATATCCAGCGTCCTTCTTTACGAGCTATTACCATTGACCTCATTTTGTGTGCTATCACTCCATGAACACATTTATCGAATGCCTTTGCAAAATCCGTGTATACCACATCTTCATTCTGTTTTTCTTCTGATGCCTCAGTGATTTTGTCGTAATGGTCAAGTTGCATTTGCATTTTGCAAAATTTGCCATATATCTCATTATTTACTCCTATGCCTAGCAACAAGTCTGACTAAATATACTTATTAACTATTTTTCAAAGTTCCTATAGTGTTATTTTTTTTAAATTGAGTTCATCAACCGTTTCAATGTCCTTATTTTCTTCTAGATTATATCTTAAAGTATATTTAAATGTTAAAGGTTATTGTTCCATTTCAATGTTTCTGACTGCATTGTTAAATTGAATTTTCGAAGATTTCGATTTATTTTCATTTTGATTTAATTATTTTGTGCGACATTGCATTGCAATTCAGCTATGTTGTTTATCATACCTTTCATTTCGTGAGTATAAGTATAGATTCCACACTTGTGACAGGTAAAACCATGCCTTTTTTGAAAAACAGCTCCGTCTGTTGCACGTAAGAGCAATCCACGCTATATTATGTTGCGATATTATTTCAATATTTCCGATTGCATTGATAGTTTGAATTTTCATAGATTTCAATTTATTTTCATTTTGATTTAATAATTTTGTGTGACATTGCGTTGGAATTGAGCTGTGTTGTTTACCATACTGTTCATTTCATGAGTATACTTTATTTTTTTATTTTTCCATTCCATTATTTTTAGCTGTTCTTATTTTTCAGTGATGGGAACATCAGATTATTTGATGTTCCCAATTTTCTGATGGGAGCGTCAGACCATTTGGGAATGCATCGGATGAGATAGTTTGGAATGGTTGGGAGGACGAGAGGACAAGAGGGGGTAATAATGGGGAGGACGAGGGGACAGGGGAGGGGGAAATGGTGGGGAGGACGAGGGGATTGGGGAGTTGGGGATGGTGGGGGCAAGGTGACGGGGGAATGAAGAATCGTGGGTAGGACAAGGGGACAGATGAGTGGGAGATGGTGGGGAGGAAGAGGGGACAGGGGAGGGGGGGAAATAGTAGGGAAGACGAAGGGACGGGGGATTGGGGATGGTGGGGAGGACGAAGGAGATGGTGGGGAGGACGAGGGAGATGGTGGAGTGGGGATGGTGAGGAGGACGAAGGAGATGGTGGAGAGGACGAGGGGGATGGTGGAGTGGGGATGGTGGGGAGGACGAAGGGGATGGTGGGGAGGACGAGGGGGATGGTGGAGTGGGGATGGTGGGGAGGACGAAGGGGATGGTGGGGAGGACGAGGGGGATGGTGGGGAGGACGAGGGGATGGTGGAGTGGGGATTGTGGGGAGGACGAAGGGGATGGTGGGGAGGACTATGGGGATGGTGGGGAGGACGAGGGGGATGGTGGAGTGGGGATGGTGGGGAGGACAAGGGGATGGTGGGGAGGACGAGGGGGATGGTGGAGTGGGTGATGGTGGGGAGGACAAGGGGATGGGGGAGGGGGGAATGGTTGGAAGGACGAGGGGATGGGGGAGTGGGGAATGGTTGGGGGAACGGGGGAGTGGAGAATGGTTGGGAAGACGGGAGGACTGGGGAGGACTGGGGAACAGGGGAACACCTCAATAAAAAACAAAAATGTATTATCACTGTGGCTTCCTGTCCCGTGACAAAGTGAATTATAATTATATATATAAATTAATTCTTGTAAATTTCCAGAAGCCTGTATCAACACCCACACTGCTGCAACTGCAAGAGATGCCGAACAAAATCGGTGGAATCAGATATAAGGTAATGTTTGCCAATTTGCTGCAGTCTATTTCAATCTCTTTTAGTAATCTTTGAGCCCATTTATACTGTGAATAAGGTAAAATAAAGTAACTGATTTTCACTAAATATGTAGATATAATTATTTTTCTCAGCACTAATAATGAAAGAAAGCCAAAATAAGTGATGGCTACGATCTCCAAAACAATGGCCTGGAATAATGAAGGATATAATATAGTTTTATAAAGTTTATTTAGACTTAGTTTTTTTTCTATAATATAGAAAGGGTTTTTACTTAATAAATTAAATAATATATGATAAAATAATTTATGTATTATAGAAATCAATTAGTAACAAATAATATTTAATTTCTGGGTGGTGAGGCAAGAAGACATGTGGATCACATTCCTGACTTGGACAACTTCAGCTGAAAAACAATCTAGTAAAGGTCTAGTAAATCTAGTCACAGTCCTGAAGAACCTTAATATTAATCTAGTGTTCAAAAATGATAATACAGTTAAGTCCATGTTAATTAAGAACTCTCCCCCTCGTCTGTAGCAGGTTGTGTGTACTCCATTCCTTGTAATGAGTGTGCATGTGTTTACATCGGCCAGACAGATAAATCTCTTTCCTAGCGTTTAAAACAGCATTCATATGCTATTCGTATAGCCCAGCACTCCCGTACATTGTTTTCATATTTCAGTTTATGTGATCATTCTATCGACTTCACAGGGGCAAAATGTATTGTTAAAAGTAAGGGTTTCGTTGAACGAGATGTGATGGAGTCGGCTCTGATCAAACATTGTAACAACAGCCTTAATGTGAGCCCTGGCATGTACAAGTTGGATCTCTATTTAAGCCTCAATATAGCACGTCAAAACAATATAGCATCCTTTTAACTCATATGGCACTTGGGGATATTAATAGGAGCTGCCTCGTATGGGCCATGTAGTAAAAGTGTTATTATTGTACCCGGATGGATGCTCGCTTCACTGTTTCGTTGTTGTCAGATCAGCTGTGTCGTGCTTGTGTACAGGTTAGTTGAGTGTTAACTCCTAGTTTAATTTACAATTTGTTCTAGCTTTAGTCATGTGCAGTTTGCTTATTATTATATATAGTTTAAGCACTGTTTATTCATTATAAGTACTGTATATTATATGGCTTGTTATTACAGGATGTAACTGTACTGTAATTATTTGCTCAATAAAGCCACATGTCTGGCAATGCTTCTCATTTACCTCAATTTATTGAGCAAATAATTCAGTCAGTGAACATGGAGCAGTTACTACGGCCCGAGCGGTTTGCTACTGACCCTAACGCCACCAACGCCGCTCAAGAATGGCGTCACTGGCTCAAGACGCTCCAAAACTTCACTCTAGCAGTAGAAGAAAATACTCCCACCGTGGACAAGTTGCGTCGCTTAATAAACTACGTTGCTCCACGTGTGTTCGACTACATAGCTGACTGCACTATGTATGATGCGGCTGAAAAATCCCTAACAAAACTCTTTGTGAAGCCCAAGAATAAAGTATTCGCAACGTTTGTGCTTGCAACACGACGCCAAGAACCTGGTGCGTCGCTTAACCAGTTTCTTCAGGCATTAAAGTTAGTAGCTGAAGATTGCCAGTTCAAAGCAGTGACTGTTGTAGAAGCCTGGGATAACTATGTGAGAGATGCTTTCATTAATGGGCTAGGTTCTGCCACAGTAAGGCAGCGCTTACTTGCAAATAAAACTTTAGACTTAGAGTCAGCCTTTAACCAGGCTAACACTCTAGAAACGGCACAGAAACTTTCTGCCTCTTATGCTCAGCCAGGGGCTACAAACGCTGCCATGACACTCTCATTGGACCTGGAGGACTCAGGAGGACAAGAAAGTGTAGAAGAAAAAGTCGACACAGTTTCTGCAGCTACAACTAGTGGTTTAAAGTGCTTCTTTTGTGGTTACACTCGACATCCTCGCAGTCGATGTCCAGCTAGAGAGGCTCTGTGTGTAT